GGAGAATCTTCTATCACTTCAACTACTGAACGTGGATATCTGTCGATCAGCCATCGGTAGAATGACGGTATTCCCATATTTGGAGAATTAATTTATTAATGAATTGAGAAGAGCGTTAAGATGAGTTTTTGAATTAGGGTTTTAAGCCATTTAGGGTTTTAGTTTGGAACTTTGGGAGATGCCGGCACTTACTTATCAGGTTAAAGAACAGGTAAGAAACGCCACATTTGAAAACGGGCCGGGTCGAATTCGAGTCTCCAGGTTCAATAGCTTTTTCATCGTTTATTTCGGACCTTTGATCGTTAGAAGAAAAATGGAGTCCACATATGAGAGAACAAGTCAAAAATTACGGTTTAAATAGTAAAATAACGGCCAAAAAATAATTTGTTGGAGCAAAAAATTCCTAACAAACGGGGCCTTAAGGGCTGGCTGTTGGCCATTAATGAATTATTTGACCGCTACAAATAATTCATGTGACAACACATGTGACTACCTCAAAACATTTGCCCTTATCCCTTCCATTTCTTGCCCTTACCCACCAAAGAAACACTCAAGCCCTTTCCACTTAGCGCCGACCAACAAGAGACCCACAACGGCCGACGACGAACTGAACTTTATGGTGGAATATCTTCACTTGCAACAGCCAGGAGATGAAACTTCCATTTTTCCAAAGATTCAGACAGTTTTATTCCACGCAAGCACCATGGACGAAGCCACCCAACAATTCTCGTCGCCCGTCCGGTTAGCTATGTCCTCCGCACCTACAACGTCGTCGACCAAATGGATCCCGCCCACACACCAGTACGTCGTCGAACTCCAACATTTTTGATTTCGTTCACTTTTTCATAAAATTGCAAATGACCCGAACATTAGGATTCAATTGTTTCTAGTGTATTTGTTAAATTGTAATTATTGTAGTAATCAGCTTCGTTCTCTATTTCTCACTATGATTTTGGGCAAAAGTGATATTGTGGCAAGTTGAAATGCAACTGCCTCCTGGTTGGCATCTCAACTGCTGTATGCATTAGGCTACCCTTTTTTTGAAGTATTATTTTTGCCAAGTACTCTTCTACGAAATCTGCCCCTTGAACTATACTACCGTAAATGGAGACTACCATGTTCTATGCAATTTTTGGAAAATAGTCTTGGTTGCACCCCTGTGCTTGTGCTCGCTACATTCCCCTTTAGTGATAGCATCACTCATTCATTTGTATCTTTGTTACTTCTGTTAGCTATTCTGTTGAAGTATAGCACTACTAGTGATGATAAAAACAAAGTGTTAAGTATAGCCATTGTGTTTTGACGATTCAAACATGACATTCTTCACAAAAACATTCTGTGGGTGCACATGTGCTCGAGGTGAACTATTCCTACAGTAATACAATTCCTGTACTAAATGGCATCCATTGTTTCAAAATAAGACATATACACAAACTCATTCACGTTTACTTTTTTGTCAATTTCAAATTTTTGATTTGTAGATATTTTACAATCTTTCAATTCGTATAATGAAAATTCTGGAATTTTCTCATTCGTGATGCCCCACTTGACTTCGCAATTTGGACATGGTCCGCTGCACAACTCGTTCGCTGCATAGGAGTTGGGTTGAGCCTCAGTTTCGAAACCTTATGCTCGGTGGAATGCCTCGAAGACCCAAACATTCATTGCGGCGTGCGAAACCGCCATTGTCGAGGGCCATTGCAGCGGTCGTTGTTTTACGAAACAAGGCTGGGCCCAAATCTCCACGCTGTTCAACTCAGCCATCGGGCACAATTGGACAAAGCAACAACTACGCAACCATTGGGACGTCATGCGTCGAACCTACCGACGTCTCTCTGATCTGTTAAAGGGCAGCGGAGTCGAGTACAACGCATCCATCGGCCGAGTCGTCGCATCGGAAGAATGGTGAAATAGGAAGATTAAGGTAACCGTTTCAATTCACCGTACACATTTCACAATGTCGAACCAACTATCCCGTTCATTATTTTTCGGTACATTTGGAATGCCCTTTTTCTTATTCTTCCTCTTTTTTTGTGCCTTTTTCCCAGGAGAATAAAGACTACAAGGAGTTCAATGTCAAGCGAGATATACATTCGCTATCATCCACTTTTCAACGACAGTTACGACGGGTAGAAGTACGCGGTCACGCCGACTAAGTTGTGCCTAACAGGGTTCGAGCTGTTTGAGGACAGTGCGCTCGAAGACAATCGAGATACAATCTCGGTCGACGGGGAAAGTAGTGGTTCAAGCGATGAGGCTGAGGAAATGCCTG